TGTCAAAAACTGTTGTTTTTGGGTTATTGTATGAAATAAGGTGAGAAAATAAATTTTAAAGTGGTTTAATGTTGCTTTAAGCACATTTATTTTTTGAAGAAATAATGTCTCATATGATATGTGATTTATGTACACCATACAATCATTAATTTTGAAATCAGAACAAAGAGAATATTTGATATTAAATTTCTTCAGAAATATGTTTTCTTCCCATCAGATGTAACATTATAACATACTTTTATATTGTATTTGCAGGTTAAGATACATATTGTTTGTTCATACAAAATGACTTAAATAGACCATGGTCATAAAGTGTCTAAGCAATGATTAGAATATCCAGAATTAAGACCACCCCTCAATTAAACCACTTTGGTCCAGTCCCGATGGTGGTCTTAATTGAGGGTTTTTACTGTATATACATATAAAAAAATCAATGACCTCCTGGGGGATCACAAAAAGCCAAAATTAAAGTGTTGTAACGCTCCTCACTCAAATAGGGCTAAGAAAAGCAAAAAGTACGATTCTCAATTTATTTCTGAGAATGTTTCTTACTAATTATTTGCATATCTTTCTTTTTTTTAAAAAACTGAAGCTGTTAAATTTCATATTTTGAGGCTTTCAGACCTCAGTAGTGTTCTTTTAATGGGTAGTGCTCAGGGTTGGTGGAAGTGCCCAGTAAGCAATGTTCATGTTTGGTTTCGTTACAGTTGTCTCGTGTATACTGTTTTCTTTTACGAAATTCTTAGTTTATATACAGAAAGAACAAATCGACGGTTCTATAAAACGACCGTGTCACGCGGAAATATCCTGGACGTTTTACTTGGGTTAGGCCTTTAAGCCTTTATTACTGTAAGAACCTCCAGTCCTGTACAAACTCGTATCCGCATCGAAATCAGGCGAAAGGTTTCGTCACGGTTGTTTCGTGAATATTGTGTTTTTCAGTTTATATACAGAAAGAATAAATCGCCAGTCGAGGAAAACGACCATGCCACGCGGACAACTCCTAGACTTTTCACTTGGGTTTGGGCTTTTAGCCTTATATTTATGTAGAGAAAACCAGCCTAGGTGGATGCCGTCGATGTCGACAAAAGTTACCTTATATGTGAACTTTTTCAAGGCGACACAAAAAATGAACATTCTCATCTTGAAAAGAATAATAACATTATTACAGAAGAACAAAAACGAATGAATGTGTAAATAATTTTATTTATCAATATGAAATATAGACAACATACAAATGTGAGTGGAATGGCTTAGGTTAATTTAGGAATGATGTTGCACACTTCACTGCTTCACACATTGTGAAAATAAAACATATTTAACAAACACATACACAGATAACTTTTTTACAGACATATCTTTACAGAACACATGACTTGGTTTTCATTTAACTCAGTTTACACAATATGCTTCTTCCCAGATTTTAATATATAAATGTTCTTATTTTAAATCCCATCTTTACAACAAGTACCTTTATATATAAAATGCCCACTGAATATTTCACTAACTTACCTATGTTGTTATAGAAACAGATGGGTATAATACATATGTGTATAAAATATAAAATGCCTCAAATATAGCACTGAATAAATATCCCCACAAGTCATCAGCTAGACTACATTGTACATAATTTGAAAACTGAATCAAGAAGGTCATTTTTTTATATAATTTTCAAATATATTAAACAATGCTATAACAAATTCATTGGGATGTTTTGGACAATCCAATGCATCAGTATAGAAACATCTGATATTTCTAATCATGTGTGACTGTAAGTTGAACTCTTTACCTGCTAATTTTCTTAAAAGAACCTATCCAGCTTCCACTTTTAGAATTAGCCATTGTCAATAACTGGGATCTCAAGATGAAAACTTTGAAGTATGTTCACATGGATCCATGTCTGTTTCAGTGATGTATAATAAATTACCATCACTCCCAGTCCTTATATTTCATCATAGATTTAGTTTGCATATTCCTACCAACGTACTAGTAGATCATTTTCTCTCTCAAACATGTGCTAGCATTCTACTTTTTGTCACAGAGCTATCTTATGAAACAGCCGACTATAACGGTCATATTATATAACTAAATCTTCAGTAACAAAAACAATGTATAAAAGCAGGGTATAAATGAATACTTGTAAAATTAAAACACAAAAAAATCCCTAAACCTAAGTTAAATAATCCGTTAAATATCTCATAGATTATAAAAATCAAGTTTCGAAACCATTCTATTGAAGATGCCACACCATTGGTCAATTTCAAATTTAATTTCAAGTGGCATCCAATCAGGTGGCGGAATACTTTAGACTGGTACCCAAACTTGATATTTTTCAATCTATGATGAAGATTAGATACATATTTATAAATATATATTGCATCAATGCAGCATCATATTAACACATTCTGAAAATGTTCTGTTTACAACAAAACAAGAAGCAAATGTATAGTATGTACATGGTAATTTGACAGTTTCTTACTTTTACGGTATAGATCACCGATGATAAAATGGCATTTAATTAACACCATCAATTAATATACAAAAGATGATATCCCAAAGAACACAAACCAAATCATAATAGAAACGCAACTGAAATACTCTGAATGATGGTTTAATTTTTATTTATGCATGTATTTCAATACAATAAAGGTCTCTTAAATAAAGTAACTTTTCGTTAATAGTTATTTCAATTAATTATGTGCAATTCAACACACAATTTCAAAAAATCAATATCTAAGATCACTTTCATTAAGTGCAAAAAATAGTTTATGTGTTGATAATGGTTTGTAAATCAAAGTACTTAAAGTACTATTTGAAGTCGATTTTGAAAAAAAAAATTGTCTTTAGAATAGCAAACTATGAACGTTGTACAAAACATACCAAAACATAGCACTAACATGTAACAGAGATTATGGAATGTTTAAAACAAAGATTTCATTTGACAATACAATAAATAAAATGACTGGAAATATACGGGGAAAAAACAATATACATAATAAACCAAGTAAACAAAGCATGAAATTATGCTGCTATTTTAGTTAATATGACTGTTAGATCTGTAAGCACTAATTAAGATATGCTATGAAAACTTGTGCAAAAGCTTTTATAACAAAAACCTAGATCAATGATATATATCTGTAGGAAAATATACACATATGCTTTACAGAGAAAAATGTGTAAAGTATACAGACCACATATGCTTTACAGAGAAATTTATGTAAAATATACAGTACACATATGCTTCAGATAGAAAAATGTGTAAAATATACAGTACACATATGCTTCAGATAGAAAAATGTGTAAAATATACAGTACACATATGCTTCACAGAGAAAAATGTGTAAAATATACAGTACACATATGCTTCACAGAGAAAAATGTGCAAGATATACAGTACATATATGATTTACATAGAAAAATGTACCCTGCACATATTTTTCATATACAGAAATAAGTAACATAAACTTTACACAGAATTATGATTCATATATGTAATTAATGTATGCGGGGCCCGGTTATCAAATGTAAGCATTTCAATGTAGAAAACAACAGTGTTGAAAATATTAACATTAGCAAAATGTAATGTGATAGAAACCTGGCACTATATTGAAATTTTTAGAAACATATGAAATGTTTGCTGTCTTGTATCTGGTTATATTAAAACTAACACATCACATCTATATATTGTTTATATATATTTTTATAATTATATATGTGTGTGTGTATATATGGTGCAAATTTTCTATTTACACAAGCTATATATGTCACTATAACAACTGATATGTCAATTATAAATATTACATGTAACACATTATGTTATAGTAAGAGAGACAACCCATTCAGGTTTATATATTAAGATTGTATGAGTTGCCTCCCTTACTATATCATACAATACAAGACCTTATCGTTTTAACTATCAAATCAGTTTACAGTCCAAGCATACAAATAAATAACACCACATTGCAAAATTTCAATTGTATAACAAAATATAAACACTTCTTCTTAACATTATAAATCATCTCTTCAAAAATTCACCAAGTATGGCTGAATATTTATGAATAGCTCGTAAGGGCCACCAATCTAATAAATTTTACTTTTTAAAAAAATGTATTTGTTTAGAGTGTCTGATTCGGTCACCAATATTTTTTTCCCCTGATAAATGTTTTTGAAGTCCAAAATGAATTTTTTGCATAAGTCTTTTTTTATTCTTCTTCTTAAAAATATATTTTTATGCTTAAATGGGTCAAAAAAAGAAACACCGTTAACCATGGTTTTAATAGACTTTAAATTTCTCTTAACATGCATATATACGTACATTGTATTTACAAAACAAACATAAACAAACAAGTTTACCAACAAACAAACAATTTTCATAATACAAAACTACCATGTCTCAGTCCAAACTCAGAAAAAAAAAACAATCAAAATTCTGCATAAAAACCTAAATTTACAATCTTTCAAACAACATTATCAAATAATGTATATATATTTTTTTTTTCAAAGAACGTATATGAAAATAATTCAGCATTTTGCCTTTATTGATCAAGGGAGACGATTGTTCAGAAAAATAAAAAATTCAATGTAATAATTATAAATCAACAATACTTTTTGCAATACACACATGAATTTTTTGTGTCAATCTGTCATAAAACTAAAGTAATTCAATCACATTTCATTATAATTCATGAACGGAAGATTGGACAATTGTCATTATATAATTTTACATATATAATACAAAGTAGATAATAGTTTTAACTTTCTTTATCTTTAAGTGCCAATAAATATAAATATCATTTTTCATTTTGGAATAAAATTTGCAATTTCTTAGATTAAAAAAGAACAAGATGTGTTAGTTGATTATAAATGTCCCCACCTTATTTGCTTTGATCATATGGTGAAATTTCTAAAATTTTGAAGAAAAACAATCTTTGATGGTCAAGAACGTTTCAGGGAAAAGGTGATATTTCAATATGTGTAAATGAAGTTCTCAATGCCAAAAACAATGATTTGGTTGTATCAATCCTAAAACAGATTGCTGTCAGCTTTTTTCATATTCAAAGAATTAAATGGAATTGCAAGTTAAATTTCCTATGACAAAATGAATGGTACATAAATGATGGTAACTGTACACATAACATATACATATGTTTTATACATTTGGAATGTAAAGGTTTATGCGCAATTTTCAACACATATACTTTAATATAATAACACTTCAACAGCAAATAAAATCTCGCTACACATTTTTTTTTGTTAACATCTATATATATATATATAATCCACACATACACATCAAAACAAGGCTGGCAGGTTAAATCCAGAGATAAGCATTTCTAATACTTGAACATTTTCGAAATTCTACAGAAACTCTTGACATGCAAACAACAAATTCTTCAATCATCCTGTTCTTAAATTCTAAGCATCCAAGATGCTCTTTCTATCACTTCAAAATTCCATAACACACTGACCTAGTAGCCAAAAAATATGGTTGTCCCACAATTGAATCTATCTTTCCCCATTTTCTAAATATTGTATAAAAAGTTACATATACACATTCATGTAGAATGTCTACATTTGTCTCTTGCACAAATTACACTCCAAATATAACCACATGTTTTTCAGAATATATCACAACACAGTTTTATCTTGTTCTTTTTAACATCATTCAATTCTGTTAAGGTTAAACCCTAGATTTATCTTTTAAGTTACACTTCTATTAAGGTTAAAACCTAGATTTATCTGTTAAGTTACACCTCTATTAAGGTTAAAACCTAGATTTATCTGTTAAGTTACACCTCTATTAAGGTTAAACCCTAGATTTATCTGTTAAGTTACACCTCTATTAAGGTTAAACCCTAGATTTATCTGTTAAGTTACACCTCTATTAAGGTTAAACCCTAGATTTATCTGTTAAGTTACACCTCTATTAAGGTTAAACCCTAGATTTATCTGTTAAGTTACACCTCTATTAAGGTTAAACCCTAGATTTATCTGTTAAGTTACACCTCTATTAAGGTTAAACCCTAGATTTATCTCTGCACTAATACTTCTCCTGATATTCATGGTGCCATTTGTTGAAGTCAATGTTAAACACCAACAAACATCCAGTAGCCAGACCTGCCAGTAAAAACCTGAAATAAACCAAACATTTTGTTTTTGATAATAAATGCAGAATAGATCAACTTCATAAGATTTCTTCCTTCAGATAGGTAGGCACAATCAAATGTTGATCTTTTTTAAGACATTCATTCACTTGATACATTTGTATTTGACATGACAGTATTTTTGTTTATTTAAAAAAGATCATGACCTAGTATTACCATTCCCTTTTAGCTTCAAGTCCGAACCCCTCCCACACCCCTCTTATAAATTCTTGTTTCAATATAATTCAACTTAACACTGGTTGTACTGCACTAAATATTCTAAATGGAAATAAAATGGTTCATGTGCAGCTTTTTAACAACAGTTTACTTTTAAATTAGTTCATTTACATGGATTCTTAATTCATATTTGAGAAAAAAAATATTTTTTTCAATTTATAAAAATCATTTTCTTAAATCTGCCTCTCGAAAATGACCAGTACTGATATCATCTTCATCAGAGAAAACATGTTCATGGACAAAGTTGGGCTCAAAACACACAACCCCTGGGTTAAATGGTAGTCACCTTAACCAGTAGATCATTGTCCCCTTATTCAACAAGAGCTGTCACAGGAGACAGCGAAGCTCGACTAATAAATACTGGACGCATTAAGGAGGACAAAACTATGAAAGAAAAATCAATTATGTATAATTATGTATTAAGCTATAGTAAAAAAATAACATTTGTTAACATTAATTCCAAGGTCAAGGGGAATAATTCTAGAAATAGTCATGCTAGAGTTATGGACCTTGTCACACAACAGTTGTGTAATGATAAGAAATATATTTGAAGTTTGAAGTAGATACCTTAAAAAGTAAAGAAGTTATTATATTTCTTAAAGAAAATCCTAAGTTCAAAGAGAGATAAATCTGTAAATATTGCTTCAAGAGTTATGAACATTGTCACATAAAATGTAATTGATGATAAGGAATAAGTATTTGAAGTTTGAAGTAGATACCTTTAAAAATAAAAATGTAATAATAAAAAATAACATTTTTCTAGTAAAAAAAATCTAAGTTAATGGGGAGATAATTATTGCAATATTGGTGCTAGAGTTATGAACCTTGTCACATAAGATGTGGATGATGATAACGTAAATATATTTGAAGTATGAAGTTGATCCCTTTAGAAATAAAGAAGTGACAGTAAAAATTAATATTTTTTAAGAAAAATTCTAAGTTCAAGGGGAGGTTAATCTGAAAATATTGGTGCTAGAGTTATGAACCTTGTCACATAAGATGTGGTTGATGATAAGGAACATATATTTGAAGTATGAAGTTGATCCCTTAAGAAATAAAGAAGTGACAGTAAAAAATTGTATTTTTTAAGGAAAATTCTAAGTTCAAGGGGAGATAAATCTGAAAATATTGGTGCTAGAGTTATGAACCTTGTCACATAAGATGTGGTTGATGATAAGGAACATATATTTGAAGTTTGAAGTTGATACCTTAAGAAATGACAAAGTTATAGTGAAAAATATTTTACTGCACCAAAACTTTAATCTAAAATCTGGACGCGGACGCCGACGCCGGGGCGAGTAGGACAGCTCTCCATTTACTTCGTATAGTCGAGCTAAAAATTAAAGGTACATCAACTTTTATGGTAAGTAAATTGGACAAAGTTTACTTATAAAACAATTAAGACCACATAGGTATAGCATATTTTAATTAAAATGTATTATTCTGGTGTGAGGAAAATTCATAAAAATATACAAGTAAAATCATGAGGTTTTCCTATGCTAAAAATGCCAGAATGTCTTTAATATGACTTTATTACAGCATGTGACTAAAAACCTAACTTAAGTAAGTAACTTACTTGTGGTCGTGTGAAAGAGCTAGTGAGCATATACAACTATCACATGCTGGGTATGAGTAAAGTAACGTCAGGTCATGTGACCTGTACACCTCTACAACACCACTATCACCTCCCAACATCAGGTATTGTCCATCACGACTGAGTGTCATAGCCTGTAAAGTCAAAATAACATTGTAGAAATATGAAAAACATATGGTCAGAGATAATGTTTAATTACACTAGACCCTTACGATCTAATTACGATTTCAAGCAGACATAAGGACAGGCGGGATGAGTATTATATGCCAACCTTTACATGCAAAATAAGTAACCAGCCTTGACAATTGTCAGGAAGACCTTAGCAAAAATATTAACACACACACATCAACACTCCTCTTTTTTACATTGAAAAGCTCATCTAACTAGCCCTTGTCCAAACAGACTTGTTCAGCTTATGATTTTGAAACAGTCAATTATCAATTTAGCACCTAAGATAAGGTGAAAATTTAAAGCTAGCCAGCCAACAGTATAGTGCCTGGTCAGACTTCATGACAATGCAGGCTGGCCTGGTTCTATACTGGTCGCACAGGCTGATCACTCTCAGTTCCAGCTGGGTAAGAGCTAGATAATTATCCCTACCTGAATATTATCTTTATGTTTGATATGTTTCTGTAATCGACCGTTGATGCTGAAGTTGCAGATAACGTTCTCTTCAAACTTAATCATCACGAACGTCTCTCTGGACATGCAAATCAGGTTCGCAGTTAACTGTTTACCCTCGGGTGGATCCAGTGACCTCAATAAATCGCCGTTTAATGTATGAACAAGGCATGGGCCATCTAAAAGTAATAGTTTTATACAATACAAATGAAATGCATAATTAATACACCAAGAAATACTATGTTATACCTAACAGATTAACTCAGGTATAAGGCTATTCTTTTTTTGCAAACTTCATTTTGGAGACCAACATATCTCCTTTACTGTCCATTCAATACACCGATAAACACTTTTGGAACTACCAGACAACGGGCTATTCTTTTCAGTAGTTTAGCCAAAGCTTTCAATTGGCGTTATAAATTTTAAAATCAGACATTTAATCACCACAAACTAGCGGTTTAAAAATGGCTTAATGTTTTCACTTGATATACCCTAGGTTATTTATGTTGTTCATATAAAGACTGTCAATGTCAAAGTGTAAAACACTTTAAAATTTAGGGTATGTATATATTATGCTTTACATGAACAAACAAAATTAATGAACAAGAATGCTCAACAGAGTTAAAATAGCTACCTTGTGATCCACTGATGACCATTCCAAGTTCAGCAAGTACACTAACACTGGTCACTTCAGACTTGTGTCCAGTCAAAGTGGCCTTTGGTGTAGGATGCTCAATACCTGATAACATATCATTATAATATATACAATATACGTAATGGTAGAATAACATCACTTAAACTGACCTCAAAGTTATAAAAAACATTTCTGTCTCTGAGTTCTGTCTCAAAGCTAAATTGTTTGAATAATGGGCAACAATTTTTGCAGGTGACAACCCAGCAATCATTATAGCTCTGATAAAGGCAATGACTATCAATAACCAATTTTTGTAAATATTCTTCTTTAAAAAGGGACATGACCTCTAAACATATTGCCCCTTGTTTTGCAACTTTGCTATTAATATCATAAAAATTAAGTTTTCCAAGTTTTATGTTGATAGCATTCATAGTTTGAGTACCATTCTACCTAATAAGCAATTTTGACAAAAAATAATCTCAGAGTTAAAAAGGGGCATAACTCCAAAAATAAGTTTTCAAATAAGGCCTCTCATGCTACAACTGCACCTTGCCATGATAAGCAAGTGTCACAAGTTTTATATTGATACCTTTCAAAATGTTCAATGCTACATTAAAGTTTTAGCATGATGATAACTATGACAACTACTCAGTGATCATAATACCTCAAAACAGACAAACTAAACGTATAGCACAGTTTTGGTCATACCTTGATGGTAGTTCCACCTATCTGGTTTTCTAAGACAACTTACCAATTTCTCTGCAAATGACCAACTACTTATCCCTAATGTTGGACAAATCAACAGTGAGAGACCAATGATTATGACTCAATGTCAGACATCAATTTTCACAGATATATTTTTTTCTCGCCCGAGGATCTATCCAGCAACCAGACCCCTTGATTTCAATTCTGATGCTCTCCCTATTGAGCTAAGCCATCAAACATATGTTTCATATATTATTTTACAAATAGTAAGACTACCTTTTCATTTATGAATTAAAATTCTCAAGGATAATTTCTCAATTTGAAGGTAAACTTACTTCCATTATCACCAATGATAGCCTGATTTCTTGATGTAAACATCCATACCATCACAGTACAGTCCTTGGATCCCGTTACAATGTAACAGTCCTGGTTCAAGTTACATTCTGATCTTGTTATACATGTTACCACATCAAAATGACCATACACAACTTGCAAAATCTTTGCTGAAAGAGAAATGGGACATTTGTATGTTAATTTAGTGGGACCTCCATGGCTAAGTGGTTAATTTTGCAATCACTTTAAATTGTTTGCCCACCACAGCTTCTAGTCTGTGTTCTGTCAGTGATTTGGAATTCTTTCATGTAAGGAAGCTATACAGCTAATTTAACAATGTCTTTTGTTACTCACACTCTTGTTTGTTTGTGTTAGAAATAATGTGGCAGGGCAAACAAGTTCTTACAATATTGGTAAAAGTCATAAAGTCACTTATGACCATTACCATAACTATTGAATTAAAATCAACTCTCTTTTAATACCAAGTAAACAAATAAATCATTCTTTAACATCATATAGATCATTCTTTAAAATTGTACATTTGTTCTACTCATAACTAAAAAATATTCTTCAAGGTATCTAATTCATTAATTTTCAGTGTGATAATAAATTTCTAACCTTTCTATATAAGAAATCCATTAAATTGAAGTGTTTTCTACCTATGACCAAATTCTGCACAAAGTCATTCTCATGATTGTCCATTTTTAAAATCGTATGCTCTCTAGAAAGACCAGTTCTCTAAATGACATTGTGATGCATCATATACAATATTGTGTTTGTTCTGTTTGGTTTTAAGTACACCAACACAGTTTAGGTCATATGGCGGTGGAACAGGAAAGATGATTTTGGTCAACCTTGGGTGTTACAAACTTTCAGCAATACCAGGGTTCATAACTACTTGACCTGCTAGAGCTAAGAGATGCAGAGATTCCAAAAATTTAAACCCATTTAGTTGCCTCTGATGCTCACACATGGTTAAACACCGGCTGCAATTCTGATGCCTCGACACATAAAGGCAACCCCACAGCCATAAGGGGCATATACAATATTTAATGTAAAGAAGAAAAGAGGTTTGAAACAATTAGCTCATACCTGTGTCAGCAAAGTAGAGTCTGAAACTTTTATCCCAGAATCCACAGGCAAAGATGAATCTATTATCTGCTGTTGTTACAAAATGAGACATACTCACTTTAAGGCGCTGATCAAAGTTATCACCTAAACTACGACGATTTAACCCAGTGTTCATTACTGAAAGATAAATCAAAATTACATTAAATTCCACTTATAACAGTATCTCTTAAAAAGATATACGGCTTAAAACGATGCTGTTGCCACAGTCCTGACTCTTGTTTTCAAATTGGTTGCCTTTCCAATATTTAATATGTGCATTTAACGATATAAATTTGGCGGATTCCTGAATATCATTATAAGCCAAGTTGATTGTATTTAGAATAGTATCCTTAAATTATAAGCCTTATTTGCTTCACAAAAATTATTAATTTGCATATTCCCCCCTTTTTTACAATTTTTCATCACAAAATTATGACTTTATTCAACATTTCTTATGACTACCTTATATATGACAATGCATCATTATTCTTTGTAAATTCAATATACAATCTCAGTCCAAATATCCTCATACCATCACAGTTTGATTTCAAAAGATTGGACAACTATAAATATTAATATAACAATATCAGTAGAAGCAAAGGCAAGGTAGGCATGCACAAGTACTAAAAGAAGTCATACACATAAATCTAATAGAAGCATGATACCAAGACATGCAAAAACAGGTCTGATATCAGTTTTGGAACAAAATATATAGTGCCATGCTTGTTATCAAAATATAAATGACTGGTTTGGATATTAGAAATAATACAACTATATCTGATATTAATGTTTAATTGGTCAGATATCTGGATTTAAAAGAAAAGACCTGATATTAAAATATAACTTCCAGATCTCATAAAAAGCTCTATAAAACAAAGTCTGATAACAAGATTTTTCTGTTAGATTTGATAACAGAATTCAAACTAGAACTGTGTCCAAAGGACACGGATGCCCCCACTGACAACATATATATGGTATATAGTGAAAAAATCAACAAAGGGCCATAATTCTCTTAAATTTGAACGCAGCAAAAATTCCTTCCTTTACTACCATCTACATATTAAGGTTGTTCATCCCTGGAAGTTTAAGCAAAATTTGCCATCCGGTTTAAGAGGAGTTGTGTTCACAAAATTTCTATATGGAATAAAGTGAAAAAATCAACAAAGGGCCATTATTCTCTTAAATTTTGTTGCAGCAAAAATTCCTTCCTTTGCTGCCATCTACACACTAAGGTTGTTCATCCCTGGAAGTTTAAGCAAAATCTGCCATCCGGTTTAAGAGGAGTTGCGTTCACAAAATTTCTATATGGTATATAGTGAAAAAATCAACAAAGGGCCATAATTCTGTTAAATTTGGTCGCAGCAAAAATTCCTTCCTTTACTACCATCTACACATTAAGGTTGTTTATCCCTGGAAGTTTAAGCAAAATCTGCCATCCGGTTTAAGAGGAGTTGCGTTCACAAAATTTCTACATAGTATAAAGTGAAAAAATCAACAAAGGGCCAAAATTCTCTTAAATTTGGTCGCAGCGAAAATTCCTTCCTTTACTACCATCTACACATTAAGGTTGTTCATCCCTGAAAGTTTAAGCAAAATCTGCCATCCGGTTTAAGAGATGCTGCGTTCACAAGATTTCGGGACGTAATGACAGACGGACGGACGGATGGACAAGTGCAATGCTATATTCTCCCACTTTGTGGGGGCATAATAACTAGACCTTTTATCAAAAATATCATCACTAGATTTATGTTTAATTTACAAAATACATATCACTAGGTCTGGTATGAAAATTGATACCACTAGGTCTGATATACATGTGTCAACAATTATACTTAAAGGTCATTCTAAAAATGGCAATGTACTGACTCATAGATGCTTCATTTACTCGCACAAAAAAACAAAAACAAATTACACATAATTATAACCAATATATATATACCCAATAATTGGTCCATTGCCAGTGGCAGGTTGGGCTGAGCATCTTTGTTCTCCTTGTTTTCTGCTGATCCCAGACTAGTAGGTGTACCTTGATCTGTTAATTAAAATATCATAGTAATAAAGTCATGCAAAACAGAATACAAGCCAATTTAAATCATATCTATGAGAATGCTTTCAAGACATATTGATCAATGTAGAATATACAAGAATAAGCATTTCCAAACAATGCTAGGATTGCTATTCAACTTGAAAATAATTTTGTGAAACAGACTCCTTCTGTGTATTCTTTGTCCCATAGGAGCCTACAAACTGTTTTTCAAGCTTCTTACTTATAGAAAGTATTTTAATTCTATATATAGGTTACCCTCCCCCCCCAAAAAATGCAGATGGCATGCACTATAGATGCCCCCTTTTTGAGGTCTTTTGTCATCCATTTTGTAATTCGATCTTGTTAATTGTATATGTACCCATCCAGGTACAGCAACAATAAACAATAAGAAACGGTCTTTTTTACAAAGAGGCATGAGACACATTAATGCTCAATACTTAAGCTTCACAAGACATCTTTTGTAAAAGCAAAACAGACAAGAAACAAACTTTGGAGATAATGCTCAAGTAAAGACAAGCGACACCTTTTATACCTGACTCCCAGGCTGATATAAAATCAAAAATTTTTGTGAGAGACTAAATTTTGCTAATTAATTTTTCAATTAAAATTTTGCACTAGTCTGCTTTATATCATTATAAAAACGTTGAGAAATTCTAAATCCCAAGTGATTATATTTATTATTCAACTTATAGTATTGCAGTATAGAAAGGCACAAACTGATGTACTTAGTAATTAGTTTTAGAAGAATTAAGATGCCATTAATGATTATTTTCATTCCAGTAGCCCTATAGCTGCAACTGAACATAACCATGCAAACAGTGCAGAACAAGATAAGCCTGAACATCAGTGCCAACTGATCATGGCCTGCACAGTTAGCTTTTCAATCAGTAATTATTTTGAATTTTCCCTAAAAATGACGAATGGTTTTGTCCAAATTGAAAGACAGACAAGTCCATATAAGAGATATTTAGTGAGGTAAGAGTTTAAGGCATAACATGACTTTGAGAGTTGATGCCAAGATTCTATTTTAAAAGAATACAAAACTTGAAAGAAAATAGTACATAGTTTGATCAAAATTTAAAGTCAGAAACACAATGTGAGAGGCTGTAGCTTACGTTGATAGTTTGGATTCCATCTGTTTATAGAGAAATTATGATTGCATGTAATTGTGGTGACAGCAGGAGTTGGTACGGCCGGGTGCGTGTTGGCTGAAACGTGACACACGGGCGAGTTGGACAGGAACTTCATTATCATACATACATCGTCCTGGACACTTGTAAACATCATTGGTGACTGTAATTATACAAAAATTCATTGTATTATGAAATTACAAACAAAATTATTCGGAATGAAATGGATCAAATTGTAAGCATTTACAGCAAAATACATGGTAAAATATATCTGCAACGTTTCCTAAATCTATTATAAAAAGGAGGTTTTCAAGAAATCTAGCAGTTTTTATATATTATAATAAATGTTTTATGTAAAACCTACTTAACCCATTGTGGTGATTGAGGAATGTCATAAGACAATACCCACTAACTTAAGAAACCATAATGCCTCAAAATCGAACTAAAATGTTTTCTAAAATTATTTACATAATACTTAAGTATTAGAGCAATTTATTGTATCAGTTTATTTTTGTTTGAGACTGACATAGATCACTGATTAAACCAAAAGCAATATGTTTTCTGATTAAATTGGGTAAATCAAAATATGCAGCTGAAATGTTTTAAGGTATATATGTAATTTGCTAAAATAACTTTTCTCTGGGGACTGACTAGCTGCATAAATATATATATCACCATTAAATCTGTTATAGTGAATGGGTACACAGAAACCATGTCCAATGATTATAAAACCCTACCATTAAATAACAGTGTAAAATATTAAAGAGATCAGCCTCCTAAAAAAACAATGAGGCTAGTATAAAATATTTATTAAACCAGTCAAAAATAATTTGGAATGCCAGTATAAAGTCTCTCTTAGAGGTTTAAACTGCAAGATCTGTGACCACAGAACTTCAAAAGAGACAAGTCTAAAGAGATAGCCAGATTACCAATAAACATATGAGACCATTTGAAAGACTGCCAGACTACCAAAGACTACCAGACTATCAACAAACAAAGGAGACCAGCCAAGACAACACCCTGATAGGCAAATCTGTGAGAACCATTTTAGAATATTATTATTATTTGTGAAACTTGAGAACCAGTCCATGTTTTAGACCTGTATAAATATGTAGACATTACATCTGAAATTGACAAAATATAAAAACATGCTTGATACTATAAAACAAAGTTAAAAGGTTGATCTAACAGTCCTGTTAATGTCAATGTATCAGTATATAAAATGTTCAGTTACAAAAATGCATTCTGATACAAACTAAATACCTAACTATATATATTCTATGAATATTTCTAAAATAATTGTTCAAAACAGATAATGGAAATGATAAAAACCAATGGAAGAATAAAAACATACCAAATAACTGTAAAAATGTACCAGTTGATTATATAACCCAATTCCAAGACATATATAAGTAAGTAAAAAGAAAATTAATATAATTTCAATCCAAACCAGTTTAAAAGTACATAATTATGTCGAATCTACAAAAATAAAATCTAATTATCCTTGTTTTCATCAAACTGTATATAAAATGCAGTTTTATTCTGTGAGAAGGAGTCAGATTAATATCAGATGCAAGAGAATCAAAACTCTGAATTACATATTTGGGAGTGCAAAGTCTTGTATACAAAATAAGTTGGGTTATAGTAAGCAATATATCTTAAGTCAATTCTATCAAAAGTTTGTTCTACATTTAGCCCTTACCCTGCTGAATTTATATAATGGACTGAACCCAATTGGATTTTGGAACAAACCATTCAAATTTGAACAAAATTTTTAACAATATACAAAAGAGTTAGCTGCCAACAGTATCTGTACAGGTTGGCCTGGCTTTGCACTGGCAGCAAGGCTAATCACTTTCACTTGCAGCAGGTAAAGGGTGAAATAAAGAAAATAGTACAATCTATTATTTATCACATAGCAATTATAATTATGCTACATCTTAATTCTATATTAGTTTTTATACAATTTACTGTTATGTTAACTACAAACTACTTTATAACCCAAAAAAACTTAAATCTGCCAGCCCTCCTTGATTAAATCATTTAAAAGGGGTCATAACTTCCTTTTACGGAAGAATCATAATGATAATGGCAAAATGTCACAAACTTAAAATCAAATTTGAAATGGAAACACCATATCTGATCATTTTTTTTATCTTGATATCCCCACAACTGATAATGGTCAGCTCCGAAAATATAAGCTGGACAAGTTTACTTCAGAAATTTGGGTGGGTGTTCGGCATTCATGTCAGTTACAGACACAATGAGATTTTTATTTAAAAATCGTAGATAGATGTATACATATCAAAGACTAATCAGATAAAAATTATTCCAAAGAAAACCCACACCATGGTCTGGTGGTACTCTGTTAAACATATAAATGATACCCAAGGGGATTACCAAATACAAAACTACAGCTTGAAAAAGAAAAAGAAAAATACACAATTTGTTAAGTAAAGGCTTCCCCTCTGCTTATATAATTTACAAAGAGCCATCTACTATAAATGTAAAAAGTGTTGTGAAATATATAAAAATAAAGAACCCAAATACCCCAAATAGAAGCTAAAGGTGAATAAACTAAGCTAAAGAAAACTAAAACCTTTTTCAAAATACTTCGGTTCTGTTTGCTATAGTTTTGGGTGAGCTGTAAATGAGTAATATAATGAATAAAACAGAACTATTTGTTTAAACTAAATACATCTGAGTTGAACAGGGTTTAAAAAACAAATATTTTTTCCAAATTCATTAAACTTATATGTCTTAATTTCTTTGTAATATTATCTTGAGGAGGAGAGGTAGGAGCATATGGGTGGGGGTGGTGGGTTTAAGTCAAATATTGATTAAATGGTAGAACTTATTAAAGAATAATCAATATCCGGCTGGCCGACTACGGTCTTTCGAAGGCACAAATGTAAAACTGCCATTCCCCAGTATTATGCTTGCCAGATAATATTTTCCTAAAACTATCGCCTCTAAGGGGATTTAAACCCACTTGGGCATTAACCAAGAAATTTAAGGTCAGCAATCAGTAATCTGACAGCTATGCCATGAAAAGATTGTGGCCTATTAAGATCAGTGATCTTGGCCAATGGATACCTAAATTTACTAAATTATGTGCTGTCCATTCATTTGATTTTACCAATACAGTATCTATCTTTTGGACACAATTACATTTCTATGACATTTAATCTCTCTATTACAGATTACTTTTACTTTCAGTCTATGTATCCTTTCTAATTCAAAAATATTTTGATTCCCTGTTCAACACAATTTGTTAATGTTACTATCAAATAGGATAATATATATGTAAAGTATAAATACACAATATTGTGAGTAAAGGATATCAAACAAAAGAAAAATCAGGATGAATACATTGTCTAACTATAAATAAAACATTGTTATTGTGCAAATCCTAGTATTAATCACCCACAAACATTGATAAACATATAAATTCTTTAAGTCAATTTTTCACACAATTACTGGTATCATAACGAGACTGCAAGGTTATCTAGTAAAACATATGGATGCTTGCTGATAATACTTTGACCTTTCTATGTAGAAAAGTTAAGAAGAAAATCTATTTTTAGCAGAAGTGACATTGACCTTGACCTAAATAATATTAAATACTCATCCAAGGTCAGAGCTCCATTGGAGATACCAACATATCAAAATCAGTCAATAAATCAAAAAAGTATAGCTTTTTCGGATGAAAGAATCAAACATCCTTAAAGGCACTGGCTTTGAACCAAGCCTGGTGAGCGGCAAGTGATTTAGAGTCAGGACTGAGCCACAGAGGCCAATGACTTTAACATTAAAGTTTAAATTTAAAATTATATGGAAATATATGAATAGGTATTTTTACAATAATCAATAATAATCAGAATATTCTTTTTATAACATACATGTCTTTTGCTTCTAATTCATGACAAAACGATTTTACTAAATGTCATAGATATAAACTAAACATAAAGTACCTGTTATAGGAATTTAGAAAAGTTTTAAATGGGGAAGAAAAATTAAGTGATTTTATTGATTTTATAAGTATGAAAAAAAACATTTGTTATCTAGAATTTAGTATGCAAATGAAAAGATATGTGAACTGTTAGCAAGATGTAAGACAGGTAGAAAAACTATGTTAAATATTGAACAAGTAAAGTGAAAAATGTGTTATATACGGAGATTTGTTAAAGAAACTGTAAAAAAATGCAAAAATTTAACACACAAGTTAACAAAGTATTTGAAATATATCTTGTGCTGGAAGTTTCTCTATTTACTATATATATTTGGTGCAGATGAGTGAAAACAGTCATTTACAACAATGTTTGTTTGTGCTGTTTTTTTACTTTTAAAATACAGCATAACCTCCTTGGGTAAAGCTCTTTTGTAAGCTTTGCAATAAATTTGACACCTCACTGACAATTAAAGCTGAAATAAAAACTAACGTACAGTTTTAATATCCATGGGAACTTTACATTTCAAATACTTACTAAATGCATAACAGAACTTCTAGGTGGGTGGGGTTCAGTCAATAACTGCGTAGGTGTCTGTCCAAAACTTCGAATCTGATTCTCTATTGCCTGAAATATAATTTACCTTGATTTATTTTGAAGTATCATTGCAAACATTTGTTTTTCTATGACAGAAAGTAAACTCTACATGGTGAAGTCTGTAAGTCCATTTGAAATCATATAAAATGAGTTGTTGATAGAAGTGTTCCCATTGTATTTGAAAGGTTGATCAAATTATAATTGCATTTAGTATGAGGTCAAAGTGACATGAATCCAACAAAGACTGGATTCTTTTTTTAGTTTCCTTGCCGCATCAGCCAGGAAAACTGCTCGAGTTAGCAAAGAAACATTCATCTGGCATCATTTGAACTACTATATTAAAGTTCACAAGAATTCATTTTTAAAATTACTGATCACGAAATTATGATATTATAATAATGTTTATCATTTCTTTATCTAATAGTTTTATTTCTCTATGAATTATAAATGAATAATCATAATGATATACCTCTTTCATGACAGTATCTGTCATAGACTCTAAGTTAACATTTCCTTCATAGGTAAGATAATAGAATACATTGGTTGCTCTCACAGCCTCAGGTCCTGTAAATAATAAATATTAACAAGGTCATTTCAATAAATTTCCTCCTTTTGACTAACATTTTTATAAATATTTAATTCAAATGGTAAGCTATCTTTGTAGCCTCCCTTCAACTATACTCTTTAAGTGGTATGCATTTCAGTTACCTCCCTTTGACCAAAAGCATGTTTGAAACAATTCTGTCTCTTAAAACTACTACATACAATTTAATCACAAAACTAAGTTTAAAGTTACAAAGTTAATGTAAAATTGAAATATATTAATTTTTGTCTCTCAAACTCAGTCTTCTGAAATGATACTCAAACAAGAAATTTTAAGTTCGAAAAATAAGTTGATAACGATTTTTCCCATTAGAAAATTTGATACTTCCCATAAGACAGCTAAACTTTTCTTGGCAAGCTTTATAAAAAACAACATGAAAACAGAATAACAGTTAGAAATAAAATTTGCATTTAGAATAAATGAATAAACAAACCTCTTTGTTTGTAACCAAATATCAGATCTATCCAGTGATGCATCTGGCATGAAACAAACTCGGATTCCAAGGCCTGAAAATATATCATTTTGAATATTTTATCAAAACAGTATTTGCTTACTCATAACACCAATTCCTACACTAAAATCAACATGTGTTTTTTTTCCGGTATCTCGGGGGTTTCATTAAGAAATCGTAGTCATACAAATTACCATGCTGCATGTAAACATGTTAAAGTGTCACCCAGCTAATTTTGGTAAAGTTGTTCAGGATTATGCAGTGTTCGGATTACACAGTTTCTACTGTAATTAGACATAGACTGGAGACTATAAATACAGTACAACTGCAGTAGAGTAACACCCTTTAGGACACAAAAATTTGGTTTTTGCCAGAGATGCTGCTCTAGAATTGTTTAATTTATTCTAACATTGGGAAGTAATGCTACTGTATTTGTAAAGACTTAAAAGAGGTAATTTCTCTACAGAGGATCACTCTGGGGAGGTTTCACTGTATAATAATACAAGTAAAGCATTTCCTACCATTCTGTTGATTCTGACAAAGTCTTCTGGACTCTTGGCCCACTTTGGCAGGACCACGTCTTGTACCTCTGTACCATCATCTTGTTTCCCCAGGTTGAACTTGTTTGTGTTCATAAACATCTCAGGTAAGGCAAAAAATTCCGGGATCAACTCCTTTAATATACAGAAGTTATTTAGTTTATACATATTTATTCTAGTTTGACTGTGTTGGAAGCTATAAGCTTATTGAAACACTCTCGAATCTGTTCCTGGAACCAACCAGTACTAAGCAATTAATGTAAAGTTTCTTGCTCAAGAAAACAACGGATTGCCCTTGAAAGGGTTTGAACCCATGTGGTCAGCAATTATGATTATTAATTATATAGCAGATAATACATATATTTGTTAATACTGAACAAGGTACCTTTGCTAAAACTATAATACAATATTTTATGTTCAATAGCAAAAAGATACCGGAAAACTGATAGTGGGAAATCCTTCAAGAACAATGAAAACAAGCAATTATCATAGTATTGCAAGCAATCCATAAGTCCCCTACCGGATAGAACCCCATCAGCATTCTGAAGGGCCATTGGCCATTCACTAATGTGTAAATTTTTCTCTATTTTAAGTAAATTTGTTGGAAATGTTCTTTAAAAGTGATCACAGGAAAAAGTTTTTATGAACAGACAGACAGACGGACTGAAGGACACTCTAAAGTTAATATTTGAAACATCCCTGTTATCAAAATATAACATTTTAAAAAGCAAAATTCTTAAAGAGGAGATAACTCTGGAATTAAAGATGCAATTTCATAAAAAGTTTCAGCTCTTTTTGACTAATCACAAATATTGTTATATTTGCCATGTTTTAAGCCTATTTGTTGCCAAGGCAATCAATATTTTTTCGAAATAGGAAGAGCAGATAGACATGCATAATCTCAAGACTGCCATCTACCCATATGTCAAGTTTCATAAAAATATTTCCAGTACTTTTTGAGTTATCACTGGATTCAGTTTATGTGTAAAATTTGCCATATTTTCAGTCTATGTGTTGCCATAGCAACCAGAATTTTCAACATAGGAAGAAAAGAAAAAGACGTGTATAATCTCAAGACTGCCATCCTTACATATTACAAGTTTCATAAAAATATTTCTATTACTTTTTGCGTTAACACTGGATCCAGTTTATGTGTAAAAATTGCCATATTTTCAGTCTATTTGTTGCCATAGCAACCAGAATTTTCAACATAGGAAGAAAAGAAAAAGACGTGCATAATCTCCATACTGCCATCTATCCATATATCAAGTTTCATAAAAATATTTCCAGTACTTTTTGCGTTATCACTGGATCCAGTTTATGTGTAAAATTTGCCATATTTTCAGCCTATTTGTTGCCATAGCAACCAGAATTTTCAACATAGGAAGAAAAGAAAAAGACGTGCATAATCTCCATACTGCCATCTATCCATATATCAAGTTTCATAAAAATATTTCCAGTACTTTTCAAGTTATCGCGGGATCCAGTTTTGTGGACGGACGGACTGACGGACGGACGGACAGACGGACGGACAGACGGACGGAGGGTAAACCTAAAGTCCCCTCCGGTAAACCGGTAGGGGACTAAAAAGATACTGGTTCATTTGTTTCTACTTACAGACTTGTTTATAAGTACATTATGAAGAAACAAAAAAATAAAGACTATATCAGCACTTGCAAATAAACTCATTACATTAAAGTTGCTCTGTGTTGTTATTTTTTCTTGGGCAGTGTGATAATTGATTCAAATACATTTGCACTTTCATTGTTGAAGATTGAATACTGCTTAAGTGGACAACAAGGGATATGAGAGATATGGCATCTTTTTATCTCCAATGAAAACCTTAAAACAAATTAAGATAACAAGTTCACATAGAAACTACAAATAAGAAATGAATCCTTTGGAAAAATATGATTTACCTTCACATCGGATGTGTCTCTCTGGCAATTCTTCCAGGCTTGTGATACAGAATGGAAAGTTCGGTCTGCATGGTCAAACTTTCCACCTTGTAGGTTGAGAAACATTGTTGTAAATGGCTCCTACAAAAAAAAAGTATTCAATTAAAAGTAAACAATGAAGAAAATGTTTTCTTTTCAATGTCTTACTTAACATTTAAACTTGAAAGTATCAGCATTTGTTACTAGTATAAAGCCTGACCAACTTAAACGTCTGAACTGGCTTCTAATACTGTTGGTATTAACAGTCTGGCTAATAAGAATGATTTCTTACAGAACAGAATATTTTATTTCTTATTTCAAAGTAACTTTGTCCAAACATTAAAACAACCAGCTATCCAATTATTTGGACCATCAGCTATTGAAATTGTTTCATTTAAGACTCATTAGACTTATACATTTATGGTCAACTTGTTATATTTTCTGACATTTCATCACTTGCCCCTCAATACTGAGGGTTGGAAACCTGTCAAGCAATTTTAAATTCTTCCGAGTGAGGAAGGAATATATTCCGTTTACTATAGGTTGACCATTATGCTTGGCTTCCATTACATGCCTACAATACTGGACCATATAAGTGGATATTTCTGCATGTAGAAAAGTCAGCAAATTTAAAATTCCAAACATTTCGCATGGGGAAATATTAGCAAATCATAGAAGAGTAAAATTTACTGACATGTTGGTTGATATTTACTAGGGAATTTTTTTTAGATTTTTGTCAATTCGCAAAATTCACCAATATTACCATGTGGCCAACTCAAACACTTATACAGTATTACACAGAGACCAACCTGAGATCTTTACTCCTTTACCTAAACGAATGGACAAAGGCAAATTAGTGGCTTTAATATCTGGATGTTACTGTACTTACCACTCTGATGAGCCAGTTTAGAGTGAAGGCCGATGTTGAGTAGTGGGTACCGTAATGGAACGGTGGTATTTGATCATGCTCCCACGAGTTATAACGTTCCTCGAAAAATTCCTTTCTAGACGGATTTAGGGCACCAATTGGCTAAAATAAATAAAGAGTCAAAATAAGATATTATATCCATATATTTATTGCATTTTAGAATTTGTAAACCTGTTCTTATCCTTAGTACGCTTATAAACAACATTATTTTGACATTTTAACTGTCTATAAATATTCATAGTTAAGCTATTGCTACCACAGTATAAACTGCTTGTAACTAAAAACATTTTAAGAAACAATTTGTTTTGTTTTTGTTTTCATTATAAAAATTTATACATAAACATAATCAATTAAGCAACAGAATAAAAGATGCAGTAATAATACATAGATTTACTAACTTTAGAGAGATCTCTGAAGTTGTTTGGTTGACTTAGATCAAGCTCGTCCGTGTCGTAGTTAACTATCACCCAGGGAAACACCGGGTACTGGTTCAGATCATTGTATGTACGACCTGCAAAATAAATACAATGGAAGTGCTAATATCTAAATCACATCAATGTGAAGGTCCCACAGTCACTATCCAACTTTCAGAGCTTAGGGAAAAGTTTAATACAAGATGTCAATACATACATAATCTCTCTGACATAACCTTATTCTATCTTAAATCAATGTTGACAGATATCACAGAGCCCTTTAGAGTGCTAACTATATCAACAAATCAAAGCCACTGGAATGGTTTCATCCCCGCCAGATCAAGTTTCATCCCAACCTGCACATTTGATATACACTACTGTTAGCTACTCAATTTTAATACTGAAATCCCTGAAACAAATAATGGACTGTCCCTATTTCAAACCAGGGAGAGTCCATTACAAAAATTCAGCGAGGCTCAATGTCAGGTTAAACTGCAGAGAATTTGAAGAATGATCTGGCTCAATGCCAGAACAACAAGTCTGCATGCACAAGCAATCTAAACAATAAAGTAATGCAAAACCAATATTGTTTGTCATACTGTTTTGGATAAGACTTTCTTAGCCATATATTTTAAATATTATATCTATTGCCAATAACCAAACAGTCTTTTGTTAGGAATCAAATGCATTACAATAGGAAAATATCAAATATCAAAATGGAAGAAAAGAACATGATGATATTGGATGCTGGCAGAAATATTATGAGCCAGTCAATCACAATCAAAGTTTTTTCGATTTACTAAAAATCCATATTTTGATCCATAATTTTTTATAAAACTTGCAGATTGTCCACTACTTGCATTCAAATCTTTGCAATCACAAACTTAAGAGTATAAAAATATATAATGTTTTGATCCAGGATTGGTGTTTTGGTTAATTTACAAGTTCTGCAAAAACTATAATGGTAAAAAAAATGATGATATTCAAGACTTTTTCTTTCTATAAATACAGGACTTATTTTCATGGAGTGAAATATGTAATTTTCATACCACAAGATTATACAATGTACAAATAATACATTTTTCTCTTTCTTGACATTACAATTTGAAAGGCTTTGCCTTAAATTTTGCGTATCGACTGAATGAACAAGACAGTGGTCAGAAAAAGCCAACAGTGCAGACCAAGATCAGTCAGGAAAGAAGTGCCAACTGTACTTGGTCTGCACTGGTCACATGGGTAGAACCATTTGCTGCTAACAGGCCTGCAGTTTTGTTACATTACTACACCTACCTGCTATTGTGTTAAGGTACATGAGATAATCAAAGTTAGATATTTCTCGACGCTGCCATTTCTGTGTCATAGCCGACATCTTGTAAAGCTGTTTCCCTGATGCAGATGACATCCGTCTAAAAACAGCGGAAACAAAACAACTGAGTGATAACATGTTACAAACAACATATGGACCACAACAAACTGTTAATTTTTGTACTAAATTATGGCAAACGTTGATATGATCAATGAGTTAATTGTTGTTGGTCATTTTTTGCACAATGAAGTCCTTAACATAAATACACATTTGCTTCATATTTTTGGCCAGCTTGTAACAGTATATTTCTGGTTATTAAGTTTCTTGACATGTTATATAACCCAGTATAATGGTTATATAGAAAACAATCAATTATACAAGGCCATATAACCTGTGAAAAGTCTTTAAAATGAATTCATAATACCACACCACAATTTTCTAGGAATAAAATAAATATCAGGTTCACTTCATACATCTGCAGCAGCCATATACTAATAAAGTTTGACATAAAAATGACTGTCCAATTAAAATTAGAGTTACAAACATGCAGACTGATAAAAGCTTATATGATTTATTAGTTCTTTTTGTTTCTTTGGCCATCTTACACCAGTTATTTGTGTCATATAAGCACAAAGTTTTTGGATTCCTTTAACAGCATTAACATATGGTTGGCTTTCAAGTCACATCACCACTGTTAAGGTCATATAGCAACTTTTAATATTTTTTGTTGCTGAATAAAAACTTCAGTCATGCCTCTTTATATTATTTTACGCACAATCAAATTTCAGCCCCAAGTAGAACTACTAACCTTTACCAAGTTGACAGGATAGCTAAGCAATTCAATGTCTCTAGTTGGATTCAAACCCTTATTATTTAGGTTTCCATATCAGCAACCACATATTAAACTTTTCTTGGAATTAATATATTTGTTTTAAACTTGAGAAAAATTCAAAATGAAATATAATTATTACAAATGTTTTGCAAAATTGTTTTTTTTCAATGTTTCAGTACCTTGATTGTCCCAGACCATATTTTACCCCCACGCCCACTCTTGGTAATGCACTGATGACTTTTTTCACTGTAGCATGGTCAGGAAATGCAAACATGATGGCCGCTGTAAAATGTAAAGTTATGATACATACATATTTATTTAATATACATTGACACTTAACATACAACAATTAAAAACCTTTTTTTTCCAATTGCACAAGCTCACCATTTTGGCATGTCATTAAGAAGGGAAGTAACTCTGCTATAAAAACATTGCATTACAAGGTATGGTTACTTCCCCTTAGTCTGTTATCTTAAATCTAATTTTTCATATGGATTTATATAAACTTTTGACTTGGTTTTTTTATTAATATGTAGCATTTGATTAGCTTATTCTAAGCAAAGTGCTAAAAAATTGACCATTGGTTGAGCTCCATTTTTAGGCAGACCTCAACTCTACTTCATAGCCTTTGACCCTAATTTAAAAATTTTAAGTACATTATAGCTAGCGTCCTAATATAGCATTTGTGACCTCTAAACTGACCTCTTCTGTGACCTCTACAAATAACTATTTAATTCTAACCTCTAAATGATTATGTACTCAATAATATAAATATATTTTTTTTAAATATTTTTTTCCAGCTTTATTCTAAATTTAACCAAAAAACCTCTTCTTTTTTACATTATAAAAGTGATAATAATAATGTATAATGCAGCAAAATGTGTTAGTTTATAAGATACTATTATGGAGTAAGGAAAATTAAGGGAGTCCATCCATAAAGCTTATGTAAATTTGGCATTTCTTGTCGCCCTCTTAAAGCAATATCCCGGAAAACACATTTAAAACATATCCAGGGTTGACATTGCACCTTGTTTTTTTTGGTTTTTTTTAGGTTTAGTTTAAAGTCTCACAGACAATTTAGGGATCAATATTATAGTGACTTTCCATCTTTATTAGCTTAGACCCCAGGTGACCCACGGGTCCTATGCAATACCAAATTGACCCACGGGTCCTATGCAATACCAAATGTGCTACCACTGACATCTGAGGACAAAAACATGACCTTCTGGAATCTAGCTGGATAGCTTTCTCGCATCAAAGAATGCAAAACCTGCAGCAGGATTCCAACCCATTGTACAAAGGTATGGAAGCATAAGGTTTAAAGTCAGTGACTGTTACCAATGAGCCCCCACCCCCTTTTATATCGTGTTGTGGCAGTTTTGCTTTTAAAATTTTAAACCCTTATAGAGAGCTTATTTTATGGGTAACAAGACAAACTAAACTTAGATCAGCTGTAAATGAATGGATCACCTTAAATTAATTTATCAACAAGGAAGATAGGAAAGATTATGAAAAAATTTTTTTTTTTAAATTTGGAACCAACACATAATAACTTTCTGCTAAGTTTTTTTCTTCAATTTTCTAACACAGCTATAAAAATTTACCATTTTTCATTACAAAATGGTAAAATGCAGACAAAAAATATCAAAATGTTAGGTTTTTGGAAGGTGCAAATTTTGTCAATGATATAAAAAAAGGGAAATATGTTGTTGTTACTGATAGATAAAAGATTTACCTCGACCTGTTGAGGAAAAAAGAAATACATGATACTATAATATCTTGAACATTACAGCCAAAATTATATCTCTCAATTCATGCTGATTTCTGAAGTATTGTTTTACATTTTTTTTATTAAGAATTGCATTTAAATAATGAAATTTATATTAAAGACATTTTATTATGCTTTATCAATTCATAGAAAATTGATAGCCCTAAATTACTCACATTTTCAGCTAAAGCAATGACTTAATACATTACAAAATTTGGTCACTAAGTCTTTCACTTCTATTTTCCCAATGACAAAGCTTTGACCTTGAAGTTTATTTTAACTGAAACAGCTACAGTTTCTCCTACCTCACTCTTTTTGAACATCTTATTTAAATGTTCATATGAATGTCTACATAGTTTGTCACAAATTTGTTATGTCTATTACATTAATTATGATTTACATCAATTTGACCTAGTGACCCAATTTTACCTAATGACCTTTCTCATGGTCAATGAATAAACATGTCTTGTACTTTTGAAGAATGGTAAAAAAGCTAAGTTTTAATAAGACTGATCAAACTTGAGAAATCTATACAGACTGTCTCAAATATTTTCAGATAAACTGACCTAGTGACCTAGTTTTCTTACTTTTGACCTGAATATTACAAAAGGGAAAGCATTCCAATGAACTTGTTTTTGAAATGACCCAATTATGAGGCTAGTTGAGCACCAAAAAGTATGACTTAGTTTTTTTCAATCATTGATGCAACATTGAACTTTATTGTCCGTTATTTTTGGAAATTTCAATTCTTGAATGATTATAGACATCAGATGATTCTACTAGTTTTGACTTTCAGCAAATGTAAGGCTTAATTGTTCCTTTTAAAGGGTTAAAGCAGTAGACTTGCCACCTTTAAGGAAAGAGGGATGACCATTAGCAATGGGATTTTTGCACCAACATATTTTTACCAAACATGCACAAGCCTTCCAAAACAGATCAGGTAACTTACATCTAACGGTGTTTCTGTCTTTAAAATCATACAACGCAATCAATATTGGTAAAAATTGTAAATTATGCTTTGAGAATTTTGTCAAATAATGAGCCAGTAATTTAAGTATAAATGTAAGAAAACAATGTTGTATGGATGGCAATCTGCTGGATTAGACCCCTCTACATATTTGAGGAGTAAAACTTGTATATAACTAGAACTGCCACTGTCATGGCATGAATACCCCCACATACCACTTATCAACAGTGGTCATTTAGAGCTCAAGGACAACCTCCCTGCTAAATCTGAGGGTAGTAAGCCAGTGCATTGCTAAGTTATGTATTCAACATGTATTAGTGGCAAAGATCAGAGTGTCCTTTACCTTTGACCTAAAAACTAAAATTGCCACTAGATGACTTGAATACCCCTCCCCCCCCCTTTCATGCAGCTTTGCCTGGGGTGATTTATGATGAATATATGAGAACATGATAATTATATGCTTCAATTGTGATAATGTCAAATTCAATACGCTGTGGACAGCCAATTTTAAGCATTTGAGCAGACAAGCTTATTGTTGTCAAGGCCCTTCTGACCTTGACTTTTAACCAAGTGACCTCAAAATCAATAGGGGTCAGTTACTAGTCATAACCAACCTCAATACAAGATATGAAGACTGTTGACCAAAGCATTCTTAATCAATTGAGCAGACAAGCTTTTTTGAACCTAAGGCAAATGTGACCTTAACCTTTGACCCAGTGACCTCAAAAACAATAGGCGTGACTAAATGGTCATGACCAACTTCCATGCCAAATATCAAGATTGTGGGTCAAATGATTCTTAGGTTATTGGGCAGACAAGCTTTTTAACGTCAAGACCCCTGTAACCTTGACCTTTGACCAAGTGACCTCAAAATCAATAGGGGTCATCTAATGGTCATGACTAACTTCCAAGCAAAATATGAAGATTGTGGGTCAAAGGATTCTTAAGTTATTGGATAGACAAGCTTCTTTCAGTCAAGGCCCTTCTGACCTTGACCTTTGACCTCAAAATCAATGGGGGCATAAACTTGTCATAAACAACCTCAATACCAAATATGAAGACTGTTGACCAAAACATTCTAAAGCAATTGAACAGACAAGCTTTTTTAGTCAAGGTCCCTGTGATCTTGACCTTTGACCCAGTGACCTCAAAAAGTGAAAGGGGTCATTTAATGATCATGACCAACCTGCTTGTCAAATTTGATGACTGCGGGTCAAGGAATCTAAAGTCATTGGACAGACAAGGTTTTTTTTAGTAAAGGCCCCTGTGACCTTTACCTTTGATCCCAAAATCAATAGGGGTCATCTAATAATCATGACTAACCTCCATGCCAAATATGAAGACTGTGGGTCAAAGAATTCTTAAGTTTTTGGGCAGACAAGCTTTTTTAGTCTATGCCCCTGTGACCTTGACCTTTGACCAGGTGACCTCAAAGTCAATAGGGGTCATCTACTTATCATAACCAATCTCAATACCAAATATGAAGACTGCGGGTCAAAGGAATCTTAAGCTATTGGGCAGACAAGCTTTTTTTAGTCAAGGCCCCTTTGACCTTGACCTTTGACCTCAGTCAATAGAGGTCATCTAATGATCATGACTTACCTCCATGCCAAATATGAAGACTGTGGGTAAAAGGATTCTTAATTTATTGGGCGGACATACAGCCGGATGACCAGAAGGCCGGACGGACAAGCTGATTCCAGTATACCCTCCCCCCTTATAACTTTGTTGTGCGGGGGGGGGGGGGGGTAAATAATAAACTAAAGAAAATGGAATTAACCTTATACTCCTTCCTGGTTTAGACCCTGGGCCTATTCCAGTATTTAGCGGTATGATTACATGTTGAAACATTGATTACATGTTGAAACATCTTTCTTTAATACGCAAATTTTCTTGGTAATTAGTATTTCCTTATTCTTTGAAACCGTGCATAAAATATATCTTTTATAATAACCACCATTCGTATTTTAACATCGTTAAAACAAACTTACTTCTGTTGGCCAGGAAAATTTCTATGGCTGTGTTTTGAAGGAGGTACCGCCGTGAAAAGATGGCTCGAATCTCGTTGAAGTTCCATTTTCCGTGCAGATAGTCTATGTATGCTAGAACCTACAATTAGATTGATAAAAAATATAAATTTTCAAGTGTACCACACATCTTTAAGACTTGATATATCTAACAAGGGGGAAACTGCAAACGATAAAGTTGTCCATCCTATCTTTGGTTACTATGCAATGAAAGACCGAATAATTTTAGACTAAACAGTAAAGCACATGTATATAGTTCATTTTTGCAAACGTATTGTTGAGAAAAAACAGCGACTCGAATAAAAAGAGAAGAAAAAATATTGAAAAAAAATATGTTGACGTCAATAGCATGAGCGATCAAACGCTATTCAAAGCACGTTTTAACTTCAAAATATACGTCAAGAGTACTGTATTAATCAGTTACAAATAACGAACGATTAATTAAGTGTGCGCCTTAATCATGAAAAACATAATCTAACTATATAAAGAAGCAAAAACAACCGAGATTTATGGGTAATAACAATATCTACCAAACGCGACCGGCAGCAGACGACAACCACGTGGGGAAGCAGCTGATTTCCCGCGTAAACCCCGTTTCCGGTTTCAGCCCATTAAATTTCCTCATTCGCATCTTTTCCGTAAAAGAACAAATACGAAATATCAAAACCTCCCTAGAGTCTTCTAAACCGGTGTTCAATTTCAACGGCCAATTAACTTTTATCATGCAAATTCCTTTTCTTAAGAAGAAATCGATTAAATTACCCACATATCATAGCGACGAAAAAGGCAATAACCTAATTATAGAACTATAATCTAATTGTTTTAATGGGAATAAAAACGGTTTCAAGTGCGTCCGCCGATGAGGATGTTGATAATACATCAAGTATTCATGTAGATTAACAAGAGAAAACGCCGCTGTCTAAATTAGAACCCTTGAAGCTCTGAAAACCCAAAAATAGACACGCTTACGTCATTTCTACATGTACAATAAATTTAGGTGATAATTTTAGCAAGGACGCAAGCGCCTGAAATAAAATAACTAGCCTGAAACATGTCTGAATTCTTTCGTATTTATTGTCGTAGTTAATACACAACAGTTCGTCTTTTGAACTTTATTTTTATTTATTACTTATAATTTTATTTGTTTCATAATTTTCCAACTTAATTTAACATCAAACAAACATTTTTGACCTCCACTCAATTCAAAATAATTCTTGTTTCCATTCTGATGTAATTCATAACATACACATGTACATGTATGCATTTGACTTGCGGGTCAACAAAAGCTTGCATGTGCGCATTACTTTGTTCTATATTTTCTATTTCTGTATTATTAGAAGGAAAGATAAATTGACATTATCGTCAAATTACATCCAACGAATAGCAAGTCCCGAGAACCGAACGCTCTCCGCACTTTAGTTTTATATCAGAAGCAAAAAAAAAACAAAAACGACAAAAAATAACATCGCTTGATGAAATGCACATTAGCCTGAAGGTATTTCGCTAATCAAATATTAATAAATTAATGTCCCAATACAGCCAACTTAATCAGTTTCATTGCCCATTTGTTACTGTTTGATTGAAATATATTGTCGGATACTACCAAATTGATGGAAGCAAATAGTCCCCAAGCGATTCGAATTTCCATAGCAACGATTTTTTCACGCGATAAAAACAAATACCACGATATGTTGTTTTTTTTTCCAAATTAAGTGAAGTGCTTTTTAAATGTGACTGAATAATCGGCCATTATTTTGTTTGTGATGCAATTCAATATTTTACATTAAAGCACATTAGAGTGGTGATTATGTGGAATTATTCCCATTGAAATGGTATGAAAAGACAAAGCAGACGATACGTCAACTATCATCATCATCATTCCATCCATCCAATGTAACAATGAGACCTAAATTAACAGATTATATTTCTATTTTTCAGTCCAAAGCCTGAAGTATGCAAACAAGTAGATGCTTTAATTCAAATTCAGAATCACAGTCATTTCTTCTGATAAAAACTTATTTACAATGGGCGTTTCGTTCGAAATATTTGGAATCTATCAAGGGAATTTTGATTTTGAATTTTCCCAAACAATGCATCTCCATATACAAAATACTATTCAGTTTTGTCAGAATGACTTCATACATATTCTACAAGATTTGTTGTATTTTTTACATTTTAAAGTGATCAACCGATTAAAGAAGTTTCTTATTTAAGATATATAATCAACTATAGTACATGTATTTAATCATGCAGACACGCCTTCGGTGATGTTTTTACCTACATGTCCTTACGAAAAGATCAATCTTCTGCCAAAGTATAATTAAGGTAATACCATGTAGTCAATGACTGCAAATGAACAAATAAAAGAATACATAAAAACTGCAATAATGTATTTTCATTTTTTTAATTCGACAATACTCTTATCTTCGGCAAATATTTAAAATCAACCTCAATCAGCATGTTACGATATGTAACGTGATCGGACGTTTCAAATTTGGACGGCTTCATTATAGCAACAAATGTCTTATTTTCTAGACCAGTGGCTTGCCAAATTCCTATTTCATGGTGAGTAAACAAACTATCAAAACACAATTCTAATCCATCGAATTGTTCCACAGAAGAAACGCGCGTAGTAATATTAGTGATCAAAATGATTGAGGGCCTACTTTATTTGTATAATTATTCCATCTTTACATTGAGTCAACCGTTCAAAAACAAACTTGAAAACACTCTTCGATCATTTTTCCGCAGTGGAGCCAACCAGCCAATTATTTCCCGCTCAGGACAGGAATATTCCGTTACCAAGGCAACAGAGTATTTCCGGGGAATTGGAAATGACAATTATTTCGTGGTATACATGACTTTTGCGTGACGGCGGAGGAATATTTGCAGAAGGCACTATATCAAAGAGTACTATTGGGAGATCTAACTCAATTATTTGCCAGACCTGGTATTTTGTTGGCCAGTTTGAAGCCTATTTGGAATAATTGCAGACGACATCCCCATATAACATACATCCCAGGAGAACGCTGCAGACGAAATCTTCCCCGACTTTAACTACATGTACAGGAAATATTTTCCGGGAAAGAGTGAATTAAAAGAGCATAAAAGCAAGAAAATGCACGCTGAATTTAGACAAGCGTTTCGATTCCATCGTGCAATATTGCGCATGTGCATATCAATTTTAGCAGAACATGTATATATACACATATCATTGCGATCTAAAAATGGAAAAATATCGTAACAAATTCTGGAATGCCAAATATATCATCTCCTCCCTTTTTTTCTTTACCATAATATGATACTTTATCCAGTTTTATATCCTGCAGGAAATATAAACCTGTATATTGTAAATATTATGCTTTTTAAATCTTGTAATTGACACATTTCGATCTCATATTCAACGTCAGATCACATTTGACACGAATATTAATTTAGCCAACAGAGAAATAACATGCCATAAATTCTTAGCTCTTATATATATAATAATTTCAAATAGATGAAATAAATTAAACATTAAATCATTGAATATAAATTATTGACTAACTGGGAAATCCATCTTTTTCACAAAATCAAAAAGCATGCTTTAAAAAGGAGTGCGTACAATTTGAGGATGGAATCTCAGCTTTTAAACGTTGTCCCGAGTAAATATTATCATTAAGGTCAAAAAGATCCCAATCCCCGTTTACTTGAGGTGAAAGTCACAAATGTGAGACTCCGTATATATTAAATTTAGCCATGGATGGACACCTCGCGGGAACCGCCGGTCTTCCGTATAGCTGAAAACCACTCGTATAATATAAGATGCGCTTTAACTGACAGGGACGGAATCTTACGGCAAAGTTATAAGCAAAAAAAAAAAAGGTATGCTCTGTCACTTAAGTCTATCATCCCGGAATTAAAGCACACAACAGATTTAATACCAGCAAGGCAAATAAATAACGCGAGCATCAAGAAGCATGAGGCAACCCACTTAATTATATACAACTCCTTTACGAAAGAGAAAGAAAAAACAGTATAGAATCTTTTAAAAAATGACAGACAGGTTCATTTCCTTTCAGATAAAAAGTGTTTTCAGCACCTGGGCAAAATTACGCGACGACTAATGACTATGCTGTAATTTTCAGACGTTTAATGAAAAGCTTTGCTGATGACTAAAACCCATCTTTGGTCTCTAGTTACCGGTGAAATATTGCGAGATGCTCCTCAACTCATGTAACATATAACATTGTCATGTTGAAGAGACATGGTAATTTTTAAAATTGAAATAATTAACTGATATCAAAACCCGTGTATTCTATCTTCCTTTTATTACGAGCACTGATCGTGAGCTAAAGCATTTAACAGCTCCCCTGGAACCTTTGTCCGAATTTATTCACCTGTCATAATTCTATGGACAGGTTCATTTATTTCCACGTCTTGTTAAAGAATATCTTTCCCGAAGATTTACTAGTCTCTCGTACGTTTTAATCACCGTGGAATGTGACTTATTATTAAGACTTCATTTCGCAATGAAATAATGGAATTAAAAAAATATGTGTTTAGGAATAAGTATGCGGTATATAATAATTTTTCATTGTCCGTCTAATATACATATTCATGTACGTGTATGATTGATTCTTTGTTTTTGTTGTTTTCTTTCATAACATTTGAAAATTACGCTTTTGAAAATGTATAATCAAATATCAGAGAATCGTGCATTTTCCGTTTAATATTTTAAGCCTAAAATGCTAATATTTTCTTTTTCAAAGGAACTCAAATATTCTGTTTTATTACATTTTTACTATTTTGATAAAATAATATGTCCTTAATTTCAGGTGCATTCTTACATTTGTTTGTTGGTTTACAATCAGTCTTTGAACTATGAAAACAAACTTTATTCATAATTAGATAACTATAATATGTCAGTAAATTCAGCATCCTATCTTTCAAGTATATATTTTATTATATATGTTTATATTCAATTCATATTTTGTATCTAATTCATCATTAACAATACTATACATTATACACGACGTTGGCTTTAAATAAAGATTTCTTTTCCGGGTAAAATATTTGTTCTTGTATCTTTTTATAGTTTCA